TATATATATATATATATATATATATATATATATGATAAATATAAAACAAAATATACATATGTGAATATATATAGGATATTTGCTCACATGTACACGGACTCTGCTGTACACCCCATAGCACTGTGCCGTTTTTGGCTCGGCGCCAAAAGTGCCAATTTAAAAGGGTTTCTAAGCTTAGGAACGAACCGTTTTCGCTTAGACTGCTCGAAATGGGGGTCTAAGACGTGATGTTCTTTGATTTCTATTTGATTTTATTTGCCTATTTTTATTTAAATTTTGGTCCAGCACTTTGTTTTCTTCACTCATCAAGTTTTTTTTGTCACTTAGATGGAACTGTGCTGATTTCAGAATAAAACTCCTTCGATTTTCTTTTTGAATAATATTCTTTAAGTGAAACTAAAATACTAGTTCAACATATAAAGGGAGGAACGAGAACGCTTTTTGTTAATGAGCGGGAAATGAAGAAGTTATGAGGATGCCAGGAAAAGTGTAGAATTGTCAGTAAATATAAGGCCCTTTAAATTTCACCTTCAAAAGCTGATTAAGGATTGATTGTCTCTTCAAAGATATTCTTTTATTTCTACTTTCCGCACTGGAAACTAATAACAAGCCACCTATTTACTTGAATACGATACTTGCAAATAAATGCTACACAGAGGGTTCTTATTCATGGCAAGAAAAGAACGAAAAATTATGTTATTCTTTGAAAAATACTCCAGTTTCCTACGGATCTCATAAAAACCTCTGAGACAGAGAGGAACTTTCAACCCAAAGCGTTTTTTATCTGTTTATGATAAGACTGTATAATTGAAAGACTAAAAACAACTCTTCTGCATCCTGCATGCTGTTTCTTTCAGACCTAGTGTATAAAACCGTTGTAAACCCTCCAAGGTTGATTGTTAAGAATATCGACGCGTTCATTTCCAATTTGGTTTGAAAATATTTTTCACGCAGGGACCAAGACTATGATAACATGGCCGGCAGGGAACCTGGGCAAGTGTTGATATAGGGTCATATTAGGGCGTTATTACCAACCTTGCTGTAGGAAATTTGTGGTGGTTTTGGTGACATTTGTCAAAATTTTGGCAACCAGGTGCTTGCTGAACTTAGTTGAAATTTGGTTCCCTTGCTGAGACATTAGCCGGGATGTTTAATCGTGTTCAGTTTTTTAGTTTACTGGTTTTGTTACTTTTCAAGTAAAAATAAATTTTTTTTAGCCCGAAAACCTATTATTTTTTTTTAATTTTTAGGTTCTAAGAAGTGTTTATATGAATATGTAAAAATACTGTTTATGTGGCAACAGCAGTTTTTCACATATTGCACTATTTAGGTAGAGAAATGGGTTTAATTTAAGTTTGGTTATTGTATTCTTTCTGTAAAATGCGCAGTTAAGGTTCCTTTTTTTTAAAGGCATTACATGTTTTTCCATACTTCTCTTGAAAAAGAAGTTTATTTTAAGTTTAACTACTTGCAAATACACTAAAAAATTTTACAAATACCGGACTATCTACAAAAAAGATATTTACAAATGTCACCGAAGTCTGTGTATCGGCGATTCAGTAGCCGTTCTCCTGTTCCCTTCATTGTTCTCTTTTTGCCTTCCTTGCTGTTAGGTATTCCTCCCTCTTCACTTACGTCATGGTACTATATAAATAAAGTTCTCGATTTTGGGTTTTTGCCAAAGTATGAACCTTTTCACTTATATGGACTTTGGAACTAATAAGCCCGAGTATAAATATACGAAGTGTAAAAATATGTTTACTTCCTTACGTAATTACCGTAGTGAAAATGCGCACAAATGTTGTTTTTATTCTTTTCCTACTGCATCCTGGATAGCCATCTGAAAAAAAAAAAAAAAAAAAAAAAAACTGTGGAAAAAAACGTAATATGGATGGTAGAGAAAGCCATGAGGTAAGCGAGGTGGGAAGAATACCTAATAGCGGGGAAAGCAAAAAGAGGACAACGAAGGGAACAGGAGCACGGCGACTGAATCCCCGCTACACAGACTTCGGTGACATTTGTAAATAATTTCTCTGTAAATAGTTCAGTATTTGTAGAATTCCCTAGTGTATTTGCAAGTAGTTGAAGTTAAAATAAACTTCTTCTTTTAAAAAATTATGGAAAAACATGTACTGCTTTTAAAAAAAACGGACCTTAACTGCGCATTTTACAGAAAGAATACAATAAATTAAACCCGTTTCTCTACCTAAATAGTGCAATATTTGAAAAACTGCTGCTGCCACATAAAAAATATTTTTACATATTCAAATAAACACTTCTTAGAATCTAAAAATCAAAAAAAAAAAAAATATTTCTCGGCAAAAAAAAACTTATTTTTACTCGAGAAGTAACAAAACCAGTAAACTTAAAAACTCAACACGATGACGCATTCCAGCTAATATCCCAGCAAGGGAACCAAACTTCATCTAAATTCAGCAAGCAGTTTGTTGCCAGAATTTTGACGAATGCCACCAAAATCATCACATATCTCTCACAGCAAAGCTGATAAAAACGTTTAATAAGAACGTAGATCAACACTTGCCCAGGTTGCCAGTCGGCCATATTACCACGATCCTGGTGCCTGCGCGGAAAATATTTTCACACCAAATCGGAAATGAACGCGTCGATATACGTATTTAAATAATGATTTTGTGCTGTTAAGGGTGTTTGTTAAGAAAAAAAGAAGAAAGTACGGTAGTGATTACTCACAAAAACTTAAAATTGCGGGTGCTCTGATGGTATTTGGTGCTATGATGGTTTAGTTTGGTCTAAATATTAGTTCTTTATGCCATGGTTCTTGATCTAGAAGTGTTGTGTAATAGTACCCTGTGTTTGGGAAGGTCTGTCTACTGAATTTTTTACACAGGTAACGAAAAAAGTAAAATCTTTCAGCTTCTCGTCAAATTTCATTGACTAGGTGGAGTTTGCGTTATTTCTGTATACGAATTTAAGTGATTGCCATTTAGTATTTTTTTTCCAGTGTTAAACGTCAGCATTTGTTTTTCTGTCTTGTTG